CAGAGATTGTCACATTACTCAATCAAAAAATTTCTGAATGATTTGTGTCACTACCAGTGTTGACATACGAAAAAAATTCAGTGCTAAAGGACAACGCCCCATTTGTTATAGGAAAACGTGTCTCAGATATACGCACATATGCAAACTAGCCTCTGCTGTAAAGGAGAGCAATCAAATATCGTAGGAGGATGCTTAATTATCGAATAAATGCTCAGGCAGGCAAATATATAATTGTATGTATTCCAGTCTCAGTTAAAGAAAATAAAACTGCATTACCAAAACCACAGTCTCTCTGGAGTAGCTTATTAGAGACACTTTATAAATTACATTACCTTGAATTGGACATTTCTATATAAGCTCAGTGTATATAATTGATTTGATAAGTTCAATTATTCTAGACGATATTCATCGGAAAACGGAACAAAGAAAAAGTAAGTAGGCAACGAAATAAAATTTCGAATAACATAGTGCTGTTTTACCTGCAACTGTATCAACCGCACACAATACCGGTACAACTGTATTATGGGTTATAAAACTTTCCCCACCCCACTTCTTTTATATAAATAGCCTATATAAAGTTTAATCAATTACAAAGGACATGCGCTGTAGGCCTATACAATCCTACAAATACATGTGCATGCAGCCACATACGTACAGTCACTTGGCATTTACTTTTCGGAGGCCTATAATACATCAAAGTAGATAAAGTACACAATGAAAGAATAAATAAAATTATGTAGACGATGAAAGAAAAATTGTAAAACTGCCCGACAAAAGAAGAAAAATTACATCAATTGTGTTAGCTGTGCCAGGCTGTTTGAGAATAAACGCATTCCCCAATTTTGGCACCGTGTCGTAAAAGAGCATCCATGAGGAAGGAGACCTAATGCGTAGGCCTACTGACAAAAATATCGTATTGCAAGTACCTTAAAAACCACACAGGCGTTCCTGATATAACATGTGTTACGCCATAATCAAAATAAATATAAATGCACTTACGACTAGTTTCAGTTGTGCACTTTCGCCCTCGTCCGTAAGTTCCCGCCTCTGATTTTCTTCGTCCGTAAGTTCCCGCCTCTGAAAATGAGTGTGCATAACAACGGGTATCAGTAGCTAACAGTTCAGTGCAGTGCATTATTTTCTATCTACTGTTTTGATTTCTATTGAATATGAATCAACATTTAAAATACATTACATATACAGATGCCGATGTCAAGATTGGCTTAGTGAATTATTTTGCCAATAGATGGCGGAACCAGTACTGGCGCCATACGTTGTCACAGAGCAGCCCGTGAGTTAAAGTATCAAAATCAGTATAAGTAACTAACAATTCATTGAAATGCCTCCCATAGTAAATTATATTAATATCAAATGTAACAAATTACAAATTATTAAAACGTAGGCCTATTTATGAGATATTGCTGCAGTATACGGTGGTTGATGTTTAGTGTCAAGATAGCTTAGTTTGTGACTTTGCCAATAGATGGCGAAACGAGTAACTTTGTAAGTGATACTAGAGGTTTTTAGTTGTTAGGGACTAAAATATTCTTGTATTTTGTACATCTGTCCTTGTCTCTCGTGTTTTTTGGGGGGGTGAAATTGCATCTTAGATAATATTTTCAACTTAGAAGCATACTAGCACTATAAAGTAATGCACTTCTTTTTAAGTTTCTGGTGACATCTTTGATATGTAGGCCCTACTATATACAGACTTGACATTTAATATGGAATATTTTTTTCCAAATCATTTTTCATCAGTTTTTTCCTATTTTGCTGACTGATAAATGAAAATAAGGCTTAAAATTGGGTTTTAATAACTTTTAATTATCCTTTTGATGTCATTGTGTCTTCAGTTAATTAATGGAATTCGCCAGAGAAGCAAACAAAAACACATTGCCTATGCTACGTCATACGACAACAATTAAAAGAGATATTTTGGATCTCCATATTTTCCAAATTATTTTCTGTAAAAGAGTTACACGCCTCACAAAGAACCCCCATGTCAGTGTCTAGTCACAGTAACGGTCGCTGTTACGCTTGACCTCTTCTGTCTGCTACCAGCGCTCTCAAGGGGCAAGGCATTCCTTGGGTTAGGTTTTTAGAGTTAAATCTGGAATAACATTCCAGGCATCGGTCAAAATCTGTCCAATTTGGTCCAGTTTTGTTGTAGGACATGTAGGCCATTGATTCGGCGAGTAATGGCCTACCCACATATTGTCTATGTGGTTCAAATGTGGCGATTTTGTTTACCAAGGTAGCTGCTCATTCCCTTGGTTCTGTAAGTAATCTGCTTTTAAAAGTGCTCTGTGTGTACCGGCAATTTCACCGTGCAACCTAAAATTGTTCCTAAGGTGCCCCCTGTCAAATGATTGTCAAGTGGTTCCCAGATTATTCCTTTATTTGATCTGGTTCAGGTTTTCGTGGATGACCATCATTGGTGTTTTGGCACCAATGTGGTATCCGCTCCAATTACCGACGCTGTTAATGAACTTAGTCACTTTAAACGCGGCACACGCTTAGTTGTTGGCCTCTTCTGGATGTCTGTAAATTCTGTTTTGACAAGTTGAGCGGTATAGGTGAAAACTGACCTCAATAAAGAAAGCCACGAGTTTTCAGTGTTCAACTCAGAAACAGTCAAGGTCCCCAATTCATTAGAGAAACATACAGCGATGTTTTGCTGTTTACAGTGGGTTCCCCCGAGGTCGTCTGGTATTCTAACCAGCTAAAACCAGTTTGGTGTTCGCTAAGGGCCTTGAAAAATGCGTTTTGGTGGCAATTCACCCCTCATTCTGAACGGACTTGGTGGTTTTTGTTTAGTTGCAACAACATATCCCGACAGACAGTACGTCCTGTACCCTGGTGGTAAGATTTCAATACATTGGGTGTGGTCTTTGTGTAGGTGCATCAGTCTGGACATTACTCTATAAAACTGTGCGGACCGTTTCGTTTGGCGCAATTATCTGTCTGGCAATGCCTGGCTTTTTCGAGCCATTCTGCCACAGATTAACAAATTTGCGGAGCAGTGCATAGCTCATTTTACACCTTGCAAAACTGACCACTTGCATGCCAAATTTCAAATTCTTCTATGCAGTAGTTACCGACATATGGATACTTTTTTGGAAGAACCATGCTCTGCCAAAGCCAAGCTTTGACCTGCCCAAAGGAGCACTACCCAATTAAATCACTGCATATTACATAATGCAGCAGCGCAACAAACCTGGAATTCAGTGAATTGGAAGCGACACACCTGGCTACACACTTCTCCATTCACATATCTTATATGAGATCTGAGTTTTTTGAAAAAAGGATGCATTTTTACCTAGGCATACCTTCGAAACTGAAATATTCCATATTAAATGTCAAGTCTGTATTTAAGCGCTCTCGCATTAAAGATATGGAAGGGCGTAACTAAAAAATGTCTGCAAATGTTCATGATTGGCCTTTCAGAAGTGTGATGGTGAAAAAGGGCGGGTGTGGGCTGGTAAGCAATAAATAATAAATAAACAAATAAATAAATAAAATAGAATAATAAAAAATAAAATAAAAGATCCGACACACAGCTGAGTTGCTAGCTGATCATCTTTTTTCCCCATCTTTTTGCACCTCTATATTTGATGCTATCGCACTGACAATACATATTAGGACTGGAATCATGAATAGATAGAAGGGTTAGATCTAACGCAAGAAATCTCTTGCCACATGTTCAAGAATGCATACATACATACATACTCAATAAATGATTAAATGTTAAACTGGTACTCATTCGTATGCAATACCTCGAGATTTGAAAAATATTCTGGTAGAGTATCACGGTTGTTATTTGTAATGCCAATGAGGCTGTGTCATTTTCCTTGATATTCCATAAAAATTTGTGGGATTGGAAATTTCTATTAAAAATACACCAATGCAACATACAATTTACTTTAATAGTGCGAATAACTTCATTAACAAAGTGGCACTAAAAGATAGACATACCTCCTGGGTAGGACCTAGTGGATCATAGCTCTTAATTAAAACAGCTTATCGTTAAAAATTAAGTAAAATCAAGGAGCTCCTTGGTAAAATAAGCTCTGAATTGATACCAAAATAATTTAATGTGAAATGAGAAACGGCGGGAAATTAATAGCGAGCGTTTCTCCCCCGGCTTTGGACCCATCTTCATAGAGCCTATACTGCAACTTGCCACCAGATTATGTAACACTTATTGTACTGGGGCCCTGGTCAGTTATTGTCTACTCTGCATTTTTCTTTTAGTTCACTGCTTACAAGTACAGGCCATATCTTAATAATTTCTGAGATTTGGCGAATATGCATTTAAAAAAATAAATGGAGGATGGCCAAGTTGTTGCAGAGTGTCTGTTGCGTACATTAAACGTCCGTGTTTTATGGATGGGCGCATTGCCCTGCACCAAGATGATGCTTCGCTCACGTTGGCAATAATGTGTGATTCAATGCAGAATTTCGACTGTGTATCGTAGTCCAGTGAAGTTAAATAAATATTTCCATGTTGCATTGTCGACATGAAGTTAATCTAATGACCAAGTTTGACAAGTCGGTTGTTATGTCCTGCATTTGCTCGTATCGTCCGACTAGATCGAGACCTCACATGGTTCGTTTGACATCATTCTATTGCCATCCTTAGTACTGTGCTGTATCTATATATAGTCCTGTAAATCTATTCTGTTATTCTGTACTGCTTGGCAATCTGCTTCATAGACAATCCAGCTTGATGACCTCCTGATACCATGTGCAAGTTGTCCTCTGGTCAATTTTGGAAAAGACTGTCAAATAAAAGCCCATAATGCCTTTCAATGCGTATTTCATATGACACACCCAAACTGCTTTTCGCAAGTGTTACATTGTATCCCGGCCCTGTGATTATTCAGTCACACTGTAAATATTAATTGCATGCCGCAGTTTACCGTTACGAGTTGACACCAAAGAAGTGTAGAGCTATGGCTACTGTGCAGATTTCGCTCTCGTCAAAAACTTGAGTTTCG